TTGCTTTCTTTCTTTCTTTCTTGCTTTATTGCTTTCTTTCTTTCTTTCTTTCTTTCTTTCTTGCTTTCTTTCTTTCTTTCTTGCTTTATTGCTTTCTTTCTTTCTTTCTTTCTTTCTTTCTTGCTTTCTTGCTTTCTTTCTTTCTTTCTTTCTTGCTTTCTTTCTTTCTTGCTTTCTTTCTTTCTTTCTTTCTTTCTTTCTTTCTTGCTTTCTTGCTTGCTTGCTTGCTTGCTTGCTTGCTTGCTTTGTTATTACACATGTGTGAGTAGTAGTCATCACTATGCATCAGACTCACATGTGTAAGAATGACTAATCCCCTGAGGTGTACTTCCTGGTAGTTTCAAGACACATTCTGGTCTCAGTTCGCTCTTATTTTCCTCACTTTGATGCTTTTGAAGACTCTGATGACTACACAATGGCCTAAAGAGTGTGACAAAGACATTTTCCATCCATTACTAATCTCACCTTTAGGGCTCAAGGTTAAGGTTTACCATGCAACTAATCAACTAATCACTCATACTGTTGGACAAAGTCTTTTTCTTCTTCTTTTTCCTCACAGCTGCAGGACCAAAACCACAAATAGGTTGTTTTATTTATGACTCACAAGGAGTGGGTATTTTTGCACTGTATGCTAGTGTTGAAAACGCATCCCTCTGGAAGAGATAAAGGGGTAAAATTACACACCTGTCAGTGACGTCACTCCCACATGCCAATGTGAAAAGGAAAAAAACCCACCATAATACCCACAGTTTTCATAGAATAAAGAGTCAGCTAGTTAACCTTTTGCCTGTCAGTGAGGCCTGATGATCTGTGATGCTTCTGAAATTCAATCCAGCCGTTTTTCAGCTTTGAGTCATTAATCCTGAGTGTGTCCCCTGGACATGTCTTTGGGGTGTTGGGGATTGTGTTACAGGAAGAATATCAAAGCGTCTGCTATCTGCCAGTACGCCTTTTCAGATGTGCAGAAGGTTTTCGAAGGGCCGTACATGGAGGTGCAAGACTCAAAATGGAGGGAGTACACAGGAAAAGTCCCAGATCCAAGACCCGGCTCTGTAAGTTTTAAATCATTAACCTTCTCTCCACCATCATCAGCGATTGTTATGTTCTGTATTTTTAGTCTTTTTTTCGGTCTGTATCTTCAGTGTATAACAGATCTGCACAGGTCCCAGAACATCAACTCGTCTCGAGATCTCCCAGACAATGTCCTCACCTTCGCCAGAAGGCACCCGCTGATGGCCAAACAGGTGCACCCAATAGGTGTGCGCCCCCTCATGTTCAAAAGAAGTGTCAACTATGTCAAGATAGCAGTGCACAAAGAGCCGGCACTGGATGGAAATATTTACACTGTTCTGTTTTTGGGAACTGGTGAGTTTCATACAAGAAATCCAATGAAATGACCAAATAAACACCATATCTGCATTTAGCAGTGAAATAACAATACACCGCATTCCAAATTATTATGCAAATTGTGTTTAAGTGTCATAAAGATTAAATAAGTTGTTTTTCAATTAAACCCATGGATGGAATAAAGATAAAGATAAAGGCCCCAGGGCAGCTGTGGCTACAACTGTAGCTTGCCTTCACCAGTGTATGAATGTGAAAGTGAATGAATAGTGGTATTGTAAAGCGCTTTGAGGGGTCCGGAAAAGCGCTATATAAATGCAATCCATTATTATTATTATTATTATGAAGGTTTCTGCCAGACAAATACATCAGATTAAGAGAGCAGCTGCTAAAAGGCCATTACAAAGCAGCAAACACATATTTGAAGCTGCTGGTGCCTGTGGAGCCCGGCGAACATCAAGGTGTAGGATCCTCCAGAGATTTGCAGTTGTGCATAAACCTTCTATTCGGCCACCCCTAACCAATGCTCACAAGCAGAAAGGGCTGTGGTGGGCCCAGAACTCATGAAGACTAATTTTCAAACAGTCTTGTTCACTGATGGATGCAGTGGTGGATGCAGTGGTGGATGGTTGGTGGACGGCCACCATGTCCCAACAAGGCTGCATCGTCAGCAAGGAGGTGGTGGAGTCATGTTTTGAGCCAGCATGTGGAGTTTCTGACTGACCGCTTTCTTCCATGGTAGAAAGAGAAGAACTGTGCCTTCTGCAACACAACCATCTTCATGCAAGACAATGCACCATCTCATGCTACAAGGAATACCTCTGCATCATTGGCTGCTATCTGTGTAAAAGGAGAGGAACTCATGGTGAAATAGTGGTGGAACTAGAAATGGAGACTATAAAGCAATCAGCATAGCGTTTACCGAGGTATTAAATCAAGTGAAAACTAGGGTCAATCTTTTTATTATCAGTGGATTTTGCCCCTGCTAGTCTTTAGAAAGAATTGTCACTAGCATGAGTTTCAGACTGAGTGGCTACATCAGTCTTGTTCATACAACCAGCATTTTGTTATATTCACATCTCAGTTTAACTCAACAAGGTTTTCTCTGTTGTTGCAGATGACGGCTGGTTGCATAGAGCTGTGGACATCGATGGAGAAATGCATATCATAGAAGAGCTGCAGCTGTTTGATGAACCACAGCCCATAGAGAGCCTGGTCATCTCCTCAGCTCTGGTAGGTTTAAATATAGCTACAGTAAAACTGTACGTTAACAGAATAAGGATTTATATCTAAATGAAAATGGGCAACCTTTGCGCCTAAATCCCTGTCATACCCCAAAAAGGTTGTGGAACTCTTCCCTTCTCCACCGATTAATAACTGATGATTAAAGAACAAATACACTGTCTATACTGAAGGGCATTACAATATTTAACATGAGGAAAAAATCTTCCAAATATGCTCCTGTTTTACAGAGGAGTGTCTATGTTGGGTCGCACTCTGGAGTCGTGCAGGTACCGATGTCAGCCTGCAAGAGGTACACTTCCTGTTATGACTGTGTGTTCGCCAGAGACCCCTTCTGCGGCTGGGATGGGAAAGTGTGTGTGGAAATATCTTCACGTGCACAAAAGTAAGGGCACATGCACTCAAAAAAAAGAATATTTCCAGTAAGGACACAGACTCAATGTATTTTAGTGTCACACACATGCATAATTACACAATGCATGCAAAACAAATGGGGTTACAGAGATCTGGCAGAAAACAAACAAGATACATTTGCTTTGCTCTTCCATAGATCCTGAATCTATACTTCCCTAATCCTTCTCCACAGTTCCACCTGCTCTGTAGTCTCCGATTTTTCCTAATTTTGTCATATTCTGTTAACTCTATATCTATTTTTTTACATGAGCTGAAAAATTGAGCATAAAATGTACTTTTTATTTAGATTTTATTAATTTTTTTCTAATGTAACTGTTAAATAATGTGGTGAACTGCTCATAACTGATGGCATGTTGATTTAACATAACATTACCATCAAGCCCTCTGGAAAAATTACAGGAGATTAGGGAGAGGTGATTAAGATGATTAACTTTTTGTGCTGTACATTTTTGCATTACATGACCTTTTTTAGCTTATGTTTATTTCTTCCTTCTGGGCCAAACAATACCAGAGCACAGTTAATTATTTATACAGCTTCTGTATCCCTCCAACAAATCTTCTATGAAAGCAGGTCTAAGACAATGTAGTTGACCTGGATTTTTCTCATCAGCTCTGTTCAGCTCAGCAGGAGCTTCGCACATAATGGGAAGTTTTGAATTTCAAGTACGCACACACACAAAAAAAGCCCCCACCCATTTGGATATGATTTCAATCTTTATGTCTCATGTAGCTCTGCATGTAGAACGGAAAAACAAACAGGGTGGAAGTGAGTGAAATTGTGTCTTTCCTCTTTCAGTAACATTTTACTTTACATATCGCCATCTGAAATATTTACATGATAGAAACTGGTACAACTGGTAAAACACAATAATTAAAACTTTGAGAGTATTTTGTCAATATTAAATAAATGCTAATGTACACTCACCAAACCTTTATGAGGAACACCTTGTTAGTACCATTTGGACCCCGTTTGCATTCAGAGCTGCCTTAACTCTCCGTGGGATATATGCCAATAAAATATCCCCCACATTACACCACCAGCAGCCTGAGCTGTTGATATAAGGCAGAATGAATGTGTGCCTTCATGTTCTTTACGCCAAACTCTGATCCTATGAGTTCTAGTCGTTTTCTATTCTTAGCTATCAGGAGTAGCACCTGGCGTGGTCTTCTGTTGCTGTAGCCCGACTACTTTAAGGTTTAACGAGTTGTGCATTAGATATTCTTCCACATTCCTTAATCGTAATGAGTGATTATTTGAGTTACTCTTGTTATCCTGTCAGCTTGAAGAAGTCTGGTTATTCTCTTTTGACCTTTGACTTGAACAAGGAATTTTCTCCCAGAAAATATTTTCTCTTTTTTGGCTCATTCTCTGTAAACTCTAGGGATGTTTGTGTGGGAAAATCCCTGTAGATCACCAGTTTTTGAAGTACTCAGACCATCCAACCTGGCACCAACAACCATGCAACATTCAATGTGCCTTAAATGAGCTTTCTTCCCCATTCTGATGCCCAGTTTGAACTTTAGCAGGTCAACTTGACCGTATCCACAAGGCTTAAATGTGCTGCATTGCTGCCACTTTACTGGAGGTGGAGCTAATACTGTATGATATCACTAATCAGTTTTACAGGACTGTCAAACCATCCAGGGGTATCCTATCTGTTGCCCAGCATCAGGTGTAATAGGCTGCAGGATATGCAGGTCTATGCAAAAATTGCTAAGTTAGATTCCTCTTTTGTTTACTAGGAGCTTACCTGGATTTTTTAAATTAATTCCAGTGGAAAGAAAAGTGCACGTGGTACATGACAGTAAACAGGCATGCTTGTGTTCACTCTTTGCACTGGGGACTGTTTGTGCCTCTCTTCATTAACTCTGCATGACTGAGTAGCAGACATCTTAATCTCCATTACTGCAGCAGACACTTCGGCCCTCCCCGTGGATTTGTTTTATACTTTGGCTGCTGCATCACATCCAAAGAAAGCAGCAAAAAGATTTGGATGGTAATGCTTCCTTCTTAAAGCTTATTAAGTTACAATATCCATATTATTTCTTTGAAAAACATTTTGTTATACTAATCCTTCTATAAAGGAGGAATTTATCCATAGTACTAATCCACAGTGGGCTGCGTAAAAAAAGCATTTAGGTATCCTCCTCTTATTGCTGGGAACCCAAGCTATCTCAAGTTTATTTCTTTTTATGATATTAAGGCTTAGCTGCAGAAATGGCTCAATATTTGCAGCTTTCGGGTAGTTTTGTGTCGAAATCTTGAATGGAGAAATCTTCTTTATGATATGGCAATCACATTTCTCTTTATCACAGTTTTGCTGCATTTTTATACCTCACTGTTATTTATGCTTATCTTAGCTGGGACACTCTCAGAAGACACTCGCTTTTTACTCTAACGCTTATCTTCTCGTTTAATGAAGGTTAAATGCAAATTTTTCCTAATTACTATTGCAGGTCGAACCTAACCCAGGATATCTTGAGAGGGGTCAGGGGCTGCAAGGAGAATTCAGGAAATGGTACGTGTTGCTTCACACATTCACGTGCACTTCACTTCTACACTGTAAATCCATTATACCACAGCGTCTTTGTTCATTTTTAAAAAAGGTTAGTTCTTCATTTTACCTTACCATCCTTCCCACTTTATAAGTTTTTCTGACTGTCTCACAGATGATGGGGTTAAAAAATCTTCCTTCCATCTTCCTTCTCTGCCAGATAACTAAAGCTTTTAGTATCTATTAAGGGATTTTATTAGGTGTATGTTCCCTACCCATCCCCCGGGTCCCAGCTTACACATTTTGATCAGTTCCTCTCTTGCTGGAGGTCAGACGGGCCTGCTGGCTGCACTGCAGAGCTCGCTACATTTAAAGCAGCTTATGAAATGTGATGGAAAGCGATGCTGGTGCTGTACACGTTGCTCACCTTCACTTTTAAATTGTAACCTTGGTGACCCGACATCTTGTATATTCATTGCTCTGTCTTCCTGCATTTGTGTCACACTGTTTCTCATGTTCTTCATCCACTAGTCTTCTTCTGTCTTCTTCACTTCACTCTTCTTTTTAACTCCATCTCATGTCTCTTGTCCTCTTGTTTTTATCCTCAGTGGTCCATCGGAGGCGTTCTGTGATGTCGGGTGACGACGTGCTACTCCAGTGTGAACTACGCTCCAACCTGGCAACTCCACGCTGGACACTAAACGGCAGGGAGCTCCAGGGATACGACCTCAATTCGGGCTATCGGATCGGCACAGATGGCCTCCTGATAATCGGAGCTCGCACCCAGCAGAGCGGCATTTACCGCTGCTTTGCTCTCGAGAACTCAGTCTCAGTTCTGGTCTATCTCTACACAGTAAGGGTTCACACAGAGCCGTACTTCCCTGTGGAACCCACAGCCACAACTAACCCCACTACAATTTCCAGCCCGACTGTTTTCTCTACCGGCAGCCCCACTGAGCAGCCCTTGCCCTCGCCTCCTGCCCCACTTCCTTCAAGACCTGAGTTTCAGACCTACAGACACATGGAGGCCGTGTACATCTCTCTGGTGGCGGTTCTCGGTGGGCTTTGCTTGGTGTTGACTGTGGTCCTTCTTTATGTAAGCTTCTGCACTAGACGAGCCTCTCAGGATCGGAAGTTCTCCCAGCAAGGTCTCCAAGTCCTAGGTGCCTCTGAGAGAAAAAGGAGCTCCCACCTTGAACTTAAAACCATCTCAAGCCACTGCAATGGCCGTCAGGGTCGTCGGTCCATCTCAGTGCCGAGCTTTGGGGACCTGGGTGATGGCTTCCTCCAGATAGTGCCAGGTGAAGGCCAGATGTCTCCAGCTAAAACACCTCCTCCGGCTCCTCCTCTTCCCATGCCACCCCCGCTTCCCAACATGGACTATGCCAACGGGCTCTCGGCCACTCTGCCCAGCGTGCTGAGGAAGATGAACGGAAACAGCTACGTGCTGCTGAGGCAGGCCGACCCTGACGGTATGTCCCCGCTCTACCATTCCTTCACAGAGGAGCTCAACAGGATCCTGGAGAAAAGGAAACACACACAACTGGACTTGCAACCCGATGAGAGTTCCATCTAGGACACCCCTCTTATGCTTCATCCCACTGTTATTTATTTTTACCCTAGAGGTGATCCGTACTTGTGGGGAAAAATGACTATTTTATGAAGTGCTGCTCTTAATTGCACAGAGTACCTGCAGGTCATGTCATAACTTGGTCAGAAATATTCAGCCTGTTGTGTCTTCGGTGACAAATGGCCCAGGATTTCACTAATCAGAGACTGCTAAAATGTGGAGCTGTGAAAAATTGCTACAACCAAGGAGCTTAAAGATGATACCTAAAGTGCAGACTCTCTGGAAGTTTCTGAAAGATGGCAGTCAGACGACAAAAAAGCCAATGTTACAAAATAGGACATGGATACAAAAACTAAATTAGGCCAGGAGGTGATCAAGCATTTCCGAGACTGTGGAGAGATTCAAGAAGTTTTATAACCATGTAATATTAGGTATCTGTGGAGCTTAAAGTGATAGTTCATCCAAACATGCTAAGCATTAGGCTATTTTGTATAAATTAAAAACATGGCCTAAGAACAGTAGCACCTAATGTGCTTACAGCTTTACCACCCAGTCCTGTGTATGAAGATGCACCTTTTTGTTGCTTGTGACTGTGTTTGTGGACTGGTATCATCACAAACTGCACAGTGAGCCTTTCTATGAGGTAAAAGAAGCTTTTTCAAGTGGCTTTTTTGAGAAGTCCTAAAAACATATTGATGAGGAAGATTACAAAACGGCAAATGAAACAATCCATGCTCTTAGGATGAACAAGGTCATCACGGCTTAAGTAAGAAGGCATCCATGCCCCCTCTCGTCTTTTTTTAATTTTTATAAATGCACTAACCTACCAAACTAAAGACTAATAAAAGACCTATGTGGTGTGAAGGTAAAGTTCTGTGTATGCCCAGCAAAATAAAAAGCTACAAGAGATTTAAATTTGACCAATCTCTCCTTCAAGAATATCGCTTTAGGAAGCATTACGGCACTTTGAATGTGGCTGTTACTTTTAGGTTGCTGCTTGGAAGTCCCATTAAACCCTCTTGCAGCTCTGGTTCTGTGATGTGTGGTGTCGAAACTGGAACCGATCATCTTGGATTTTTTTTAGGAGAAGAGGATAATGTCAGAGGCAATCAAATCTGGCATGTGTGGCAGGTGTTTAGCACGGATTTTGTTGCTGTGGCTAAAAAAAAAGATTTTCTATAGACTGTTTAGATGGTTCATACCAGATGTCATCTCTCACATGCTTCAGGAGGTTAAAGTAAATATCAGTGTTGGAAAACTCTCCCTGAGAAATGACTAAACATTGAAAAACCCCACAAATGTCTCCTGGCAGCACCACCTTTGTGCTTGGACACTGTGGACTCTTCCAGCTAAAGCTACTCTTTGGATTCTGGATGTAACCAAAGACCAAGTTTGCATCAACAGTAATCAGCTGGATCACACAGCAGCTGATGTTTGCTGCTCTGTGAAATTTTAGATACAAAAGTGCAAGCGTTCATAACGGGACTTTTGGAGGAGCGTGCTAAAAATAGCTACCCTGGAAGTGATCCAGATGTGCACAACAAGATGACCTTGAAGGGGAGATTAGCCTAATTAAATCAGGTATAAATTTAGATTTATATTGATTGAGATGAGCAGCAAGCCTTGTATATTTTTAAACTGGCTTGAAAGGAGGTAGAGTATTAATCCATATTTTCACAAAATTAATTGTTTGTGTAAAATATTGAGCATATGGAAAAATGAGTGAAAGTTGAGCACACAAAGCTCCAGGAATGGGTTTTGAGTGGCTTGTCATGTTTCAAACCACTTTTTCTATGATGCATGTCCTTTGCAGAGATGTAACGAATGATTATTTTCCTATGATTTCTCACTTTAGGATCTGAAAGCTGTGAATGTTTGGCATTTTTGCTCGATAAATAACATTTATCTTCTCTGTTAAGCCGTCGGCCACAATCATTGTAATAACTAAAATGTTGACTTTAGTAAAAGTATCACTTTAAGAATCCAGTTTTGATACAGCACACTAGAGCACAGATTTTAAGACAAGTCTTACATTTTAGTGTATTTATTTAAGCCACTTTCCCCCCTTGATTTTTCCTCATGTAAATAGCAATAAATATACGCCACTGTTGCAACCGTTAGTAGCATAGTGTGCTGTGCCAGTGCCAATGGAAAAACCTGTAGCAAACTTGGAACTATTTTTTTCCCTGTAGTATTTCTATTTTTAGCCTCTCTGTGGGAAAAGAGATAAAACTTTATGAAAGTAAACATGCAGTCTATTAAAGGAGCAGTCAGCGTGGTGGTCAGATTTATTGGCTTTTGCTGTAGATCACAGACTGGGTTCAGGGTTGTGGAGGTGAACCGGGAACCACAAACTGATAAAATCCTATAAAGAAAATTTTTAGATGCTGTTTTATATTTATATTTAAGGCCTGTTTTCTGAATAACATTGACTGTTTTACTTTCTCTCAAAACATCAAGAACATGGTTTCATACAAAAACAGGTGAAAAAACAAACAGAAATCACATGGATTTCTACAGCAAAAATTTAAAAAAGTTCTAGTCATCTATCTCTTAAAACAACGCTGAGAGCCAGGCTCACATTTGTCCTCTGCTTTGCTAAAGCTGCACGTGGAAAGTTGCCAAACCCAAGTGGAGAAGACCTTCACACATGCAGCCCACAAAAGCATCCTCAATGTTTACCTGACATTAGTGCAATGCCAAAACAACAAGAACTGCAGCTTTCACTGTATTTCCTCAACAAGGTGAACAACGCTATGATTAAATGCTACGTGTATATCTTACGGGGAAGTGACTGAAATGAATCTCTGAGCTTTTTGTAAACGTGTCACGGCCAGTGGTAAATAAAGATCCGTCTTTGCTGCAAAGTGTTGAATCAGCTCTCGTAGCTTCAGCACAAGCAGCGGCCCTCTCTGGTGGCTCTCATTGTTTATCTGTCAGACAGCGAGAGCCGTGTTTGGCTCACCTCCACGAGGGGAGGACAGCAGCTTCTTGTCTGTTTGCATGCCTCGCTGTCATCTCTGCAGGTACATCCAGCCACAAAACATTTGACCTGCGTGTCCTGGTTAGTCATGCAGGAAACAGATGGCGATACTAGTAGACAGGAGATGTTTTGCACTTGCAGGTCTTCTCGTGTGTCTTGTACTTTGGCATCATGGATTTTTTATTCTTTTTTTTTGCTGAGGATAATATAGTCCAGGCAGTCCACTCTATGCAAATAGAGGTAGAAGAAATTCTCTGTGACTAAAGAACCACATTAATTCAATCAAATCAAAGCACTTAACTGATTGCACGCTTGCATATTAAGCTGGTCTTTTAAAACTATGCACTACAGATTTTTTGGCAATCCATGTGCACCCAGCCACATCATGATTATTGCTTAAGAGAAACTCTGCAAAAGTGCGCATGTTATATTCCCCAGGAAGTCTGTGGCATCTGGGGAAGCGACAGAAGAAGTCTCTGGGTGATTCAGGAACAAAACAACTTTTTTTTTTAAATTAAGTAAAGTCAGAACCATGGCCAAGCTGCTATCGCCACATAAAAGTAAAAAGAATGCGACAAAATTTAGTAGCCTGTAACTAAAAGGGAAATTAATCAAATAGCTGGCAAACTGCACGCACAAATCTCCATGAGCTCATACACTGCAAACAGAAATACACTAAAAGACTGAGGTTCTCCTCTCCCCCTGCCTCCGCTTAAATACTCCCAGGCTTAATTGCTGAGTGGATTCAGCTGCAAAGGGCGGTGCATACGTTTGGAGAGAGCGTAAAACACACAGACAGACACACAGACAGGCAAAAGCTTCAGTGTGCTTTTATTACAGTACATAGCATCATTATGTGACAGCACAAATAAGCTGTTCTAAATGGGCATATTTGTATTTAGTATCAGATCAGTACCACTATGATCCAAACTTTGATCTGACAGTTTTTTTGTACTTTAGTGTCAGCGTTAAAGGCTTTTCAGTTTACTAAACACTGAGTATAGTGTGTTTGTCAAGGTTTTTGCCAGAAGCCACAAGTCCATTTTTACTGTATCCTAGTAAAATAATAATCTTGTTACACCCTGTATCCATAAGCAATGCAGTGGACAAATTTAAAGCTTACAATGACCTGCTTTTATATATTTTAAATGCCATATATATGGTTTTAAACTACAGTATGTGGTAAAAACCTGAACTTAAAGTTCTTGCTTCATACTTTCTCCCAAACTTTGCCACTTCATCTTCTTCATCTCCCGTTTCTGATCAGCCCTTTATAAAAAAAGCAAAAAAAACAAACAAACCACTTCACATGTTTTGATCATAATCTTCTGTCCTCAACTCTTTCCATCTCTGCTGCCTCTTTTATTACCACTGCTCATCACTTCTACATGACAGAATCATCTGTAACCCTCGCCGCTCACATTCACACTCGCTTCTCAAGGACCCGGCTGAATTTCCAAATGGTCACAGTGGCCTCTAATCAATTAAAGCCGGCTTTTAAAAGAGCACTCGAGTTTGTGTTTTTGAACATGTGGGAATTCAAGTAACAATTGGATTTTCTGTAGCAGTTTAAGATGCTGTTATGTTATGAAGCTCTCAATCCGACAGCTTAAGCTTAAGGGATGTTTTATGTTTCCCTTGTTAGCTTGTATAGTTTCAAATAATGACAAGCTCAAGCTTCAGACTGCTATTTACATTTACTTTTTGACAGTTTCCGACTCTTAGATCTATATGATGTCAGATAGGGCTGATAACCCTAATATGGCATCTCATGTACAGAAGCTCCACCCACCTGCTGCTAGTCAATCAATCAGAGGGCAGCTGGCTTAAAGAGAGAGGCTAAAAACAACTTGTTTCCAGACAAGACAAGACAGGCCCAGCATAAGACAAGTAGGATAATTTTAGACTCTGGTTTATGCAAAGGTACTGGAAGTTGCATAATAGGCCCACGGTATATATTTAAATCAAAATTGTACAGTGTAAAATGTTTTTGTTTTATTTTTTTGCTGGTTAACATTTAATTTCAATAAAATGTGTAAAATAATTGCAGCTTCTACTGTGTTCAACATGTTTGTGTTATATAGAATTTTTTCTTGTAAATGTCTGGGTATTTCTGAACATAGTGGAAGTTTCACCTGAATCTAAGGTCATTACTGCTGCTATTTCACTGTCATTCAAGGGCAATTCGTTTACAATAAACACTCTATTCTGTACTATGGACTTAAACTTAATTAGTTAACACGTTGGCTGCTTTGCGTTCACATGAAATTGTTTTGGTTTTTTGGTTTTGTTTTGTTTTTTGCTAATTCCATAGCAGAAATTATCCTGCTGTTTATGTAGATGTACTTTCTTCTTTGCGTCGGGCCTAAACAGTTCACAGCTTGCACTATACTTTCTTATGTGCTTTGTTAAAAATCATGCATACTAAAACCCCTGTAAACTGTGACACTTTGATTCAAGCTGGTTCTGTATTATTTTTGATGTAGATAATGAACTTCTCTTTGTTGTCTTATCAGATTATACCTGGCCAAAGTGATATCTCATGTCTTATTTATTTCATGTCATTCAATTTCTTCTGGCGTTCATGTAGCTTAAAAAAGTGTTTGGATGACCTTTAGCTTGGGGGAAAAAAGGTTCATTGTCAACAGCCCTGAGAGGAAGTCATGAAACAACATGCAAAATATGTTCTCACTCGATTCTTCTCTCAAGATACCTGGTTGTTTTTAGCTTGTGGCGAGTAGCAAGGCCACTGTCCTCCACAAGGAATGAATCCCACTCCACCCCATAGTCATTTATATGAGCCAGAGGTATAACATAGACTCAGGGTACAGAGGAGGGGGGTAAAAATTACCATTTTTAGAGCAGCATTCACAGCTGTAACTAAGCAACAACAACTTTATTTAGTGTCCTTGCGCAGGTCAAGCTGTGCCATTTCCCATCAGGGATGGCGGGCGTGATGAGAGAACAGCAGCTGCGATATCTGTAATTGGTGTCGGAGATAAATTAAAAATACAGGAAATGAGAATAGTATGGAGGACTGTAAGTGCCAAAATTACTTACACACACACACAAATATAGCAGTGGCTTTCAGATGCTGGAAATGAGGTTGGAGACTCAACCTCATCAAGCTAACTGACCAGAGATCAGTGGAAACACAAAGAAAGAAATGCTTCATCTTATACTCATGTGATGATTAAAAGCTTGGATGGGTTGATAAAGGGGTTTGGAATCTTAAAACTGGCTGTTGCAGACTTTAACATGGGAATGGCGGAATACATTTATCTGTTTTGGATAAAAATGAAGACTTTATTCTACGAAACAGGCAATGCCCCTTTTTAAATCTGAAATTTACTGATAAAAAGTTTGGAGATTTAAAGTTAGACACTTTTATTCCAAGTGCAGCCTCCGTGTCTGAGTCTAATTTAACACTGGAATGGTAATTAGAAAAGATACGTGGGAGAAAGTGAGCGAAATGAACAGCAGCATCTTCCTGCATCTCATCAGCATCCTTTGCAGTCATGTCACTCTCCCGCTCCACATAAACAGTCACATTGCCTAACCATTTCCCGTGGCCGGGGTTATAAAGTATACCATTCGCCTGCTGCACTCTTCACGTTGGCTTCATGCGAAGACTTATTTGTATTCGTCCGATGGTTTCCACTTGGTTGTATTTGTTTTTTGGAGAGCAACACTGGGGGTGAACCCTGAATGCCTTTTGCAGTCAAAAATGATGAATTCAGTAGAAGAACTGCAAAGAAAGCAACCAGTAGTTGTGCCAAAATTCAACGCCTTGTTGAATTTGAACAAATCACCCGCTGGACGAGTGTTAAGTTTTCTGTTCCTGTTACAGAGGACAGCTCACACTGAAGGTTAAAGGCTGTCCCTCAGGCCATCACACAACCATCTGTCATGTTCATTTAAGCTGTGGGATATTTAAGGACACCTTCATATCTTGTCAGTATTAAGCCGTGAAAACATTTACATTCACCCTGGAGTACAACTTAAAAAACATGTAATTCTTCTTAAGTTTTTACACTGAGCGATGCAGACAGCACAACGGCTGTGCTACTTCTTCTTCTCTCGATGTGCTGAAACCCACCTCTAAAGAAAATCTGTATTTAAACATCAACATCTGAAAGTTGTTGGGTTTTTTTTATTTCAAAGTTCCATCTGCGGCACTTATTACACAAATCTTTAAATAACCTTGAGATTTAAAAACAGTTATCTGCTCTTTAGTATGCCCGCCGACAAAGCTCTGGTGGATCCATTTAAAGTCTATTCAAATGTGGCATTTAGAGCTGGAACTGTGAGCATTTTTCCTTCAAGTGGGCTCTGCTGCAAACAGAAGGAGATGGTTAAAAAAAAAATTTAAAAAAAATCAGACAACAGTGTGGTATTATCCAGGAAAACAAATCGAAAGGAAGCCGATGCAGAAACTGTTATTCACCAGTGATTTAATTTAAATTGCAAAAATTACAAATGGAAGTTCAACATTTTCTTTCGTTAGTC